ATGTATCATCTATAAAAGAATGGTTGTCATCAGCCACGTGACTTTTCGACAGGATGTACTCAAAGATAAGGCATATAAATACATCTGCTTTATGTTCGGCATTGGCGTGTGTCTCTCATAGTTGGACCCGGCCTCAACACTCTGACGGAAAATCCCATCAAGACATTGCAGCACAGATCACCAAGCCTCCCCACCACGACAAGGTGGCGACACGATGGAGAGGAGTACCCCCTGCCTTGTTAGCATACTGCCCATCTGACCCACTTCCCGACACCAACCAGGAGGAAAGAGATAGAGAAAGAAAGTTAAAGAGAAAGAAGTGAATGTTAATAAAAGAAAAAAAAGAAGATAGAATATAGAGAGAAAAAGAGAAAGTCCCAGTCAGATCATACGAGAGTGCGGCAGACAACAAGCATCCCCGGGGCACCACGAAAAGGTAAGGCTCGGAGGATTTGGGTTTCCGCCCCCATTTAGTCCGGAGAGACTCTCTCCGCATTGAATGAAGTCAAACAATTAAATAAGACGCCCGATTGTCGTATTGCATTCTTATTACTGTATTTATATTGTCGATTGTTTATTGTTTCGTTAATCGGTATATTGATATTTTTGCAATTTATAAAATAAATTCCTCGCAATTATATCAATGTGTAATGTGTGAATTAAATCATTGCAGATAATTTTGTGAATTCATTCCAACAACAGCATTTGCCATTGCAACTTTTTTTATTTTGTTTTAAATTTACATAAACTCATAAGTTAAAGATAAACATTCACTTTGACAGAAAAAATATGTTTAGTTATTGTCTTAACGGTTATTTCAAGTAAGGAGTTAATTATTTCACAGAAATTTTAATAAAATATAGGTCTATATCATTCAAGAGGGGGGAAATGAGATTCGTATTTTTACTTTCTCCACTGTTGTATATAGCAGCGGAAAAGTATGCCGATCGGTCAAAAAATGATCCTTTAAGATTTTTATATTTTTGGACTCGGGGAACCTTGAAATTACGAGAAATGCAAGGAAATTTGGGGGTTTCGCATGTATTGATGTTAGTGTGTGTGTGTGTGTTACACGATTCTTATCACTCTGTTTGAAGCTTAATAACTCTTGTGCTTTTTGTCGAAAATTTTTGAAATTTTGCAGGGAGAGTTTGTGTATCACGGGAATTGATTAAATCAAATCTTGGTGGTTAAAGTTCGAGAAGGTTGGGAGATAATAGGGTCGTGTGTATCTCCAGTAGGGTCGGATCTAGTGACGATTTTACTCGTTATTAGCATTTACAATTTTGTTTTATTGAAAAACTTAATTCTACTCTGAAAATTAAGCTTTTCGTCATTTTGTAATAAATAAAAACGGAGATGTACCATCGAGATATCATAACAATGGAACAATTACTATTGTAGATATTCTTATGCTATCTACGACAAGGTGTCATGTGCCATATCACGAGTATGGTCAGACTTAATAAATATGTTATTCGTTATTACCGTTTACAGTTTCTATGAAAACCATCATTGTTCTTAAAATTAAGCTTTTTGCTATTTTATTGTAATTATAAATAGAGACAGATTTTTATAAAATCTCATAGCAGATGGCACAACAAACAATCTTATCTAAATATCAAGATGGGTTGATAATAATAATAATAATAAGCGCAGAGCCCAAATGGTTAGGAGATTAAAGTTGAAATTTANGATAATAATTAAAAATATAAAAAATTATTTTTAAAAAATCAACAACGTACTGAGTATTGTACGGATCGGAGTATTCCAAGGACTATAAATAACCAATCATATGGCTGAGAGTAAAGCTCTTTCAAGAGTTGGAACGCACTTAAATTATAAAAATATTGGTATATTGAGGGTTAAGTACTACACATCCAGGCTTAAACTCTGATCTGACTATATAAGAATTAAAAGAAAACTAAAAAATAGAGAAATTCGAGATGAAATAATGTAGATTTATATATATTAACTAATTGCCTAAATCTCAAATCTAGGGGCAAACACAAGAGTGTAGATTTAGATGGAATAACAGGTTCTAAACGTGTTGTATAGACTTTAGTGTTTTTATTTAAAGTAAAATGGCGGTGGATAGTGCCGGTCATCGCCACCAAGAGCGCCGTATCTAAGGTCACGGCCATTCTATGTAGTGTATTGTAGCTGGTTGATTCGCCCTAACTAAAATAATGGACTGGTATAGTGTAACGTGAACGTAAGTCACGCGTGAGCATCGCTGCCGATTCTTTTCGCCACTCCGTTTGACTTAGTTAAAATTTTATTAACGATTATTCATTACTTTATTATATAAAAATGACTAGAAAACGGCCACAGAGGCTCGCCTAAAGCTACACCCACACCCACTGTCACGTATGGATACCCAGAGGCCCACCGGGAAAGAAGCGAATGTGTTTCAGAATTACGCTAATTAATCATATAATAATTAATCTCGATATAAGATGACGGAATTCAGTCCGTTAACCAATAATCACGAAATATTTTATCAATAGAAATTGAAAATTTTTCAATGTTTTTGAAGTTATTATTCTCGTTCTCCTGTTGGATTATATGTTTTTAAACATTGGATTAAATGACAAGAAACTGAACTAGAAAAAAAAAATTATTTGCAGAAAGTAAGAAGAATCCATATTTACAAACTCCTCCGTCTAAATAAACGTTAATGTTAAATACTTTCCGAAATGAATTAATATCTTTAAATTTTATCAAATATTATGTCTTGACTCTTAAACTTATTTCTGGTTGCCGACGAACTCTTCGTCGTCGACGTCTTCGTGAGTAACGAAAAAGTTTTAAGTTTTATGAAAATTTCATAAGCAAATTTATTAACTGAATGGGGTGAAATATGATAGACCCGAATTGACCAAAACTTTCCATCGTAAATTGTCTCGTAAATAATAAGATAAAAAGGTAGTTGTGGTAGGCCGACGAACGGAGAAAATGGCGACCGAGTATCTGTTTTAAATATTTGAAAAATGTTAAGGAATTCCGAAAAATTTACATAATTTCTTATGGCGAAATTAAAACTTTTTATAGAATGTCGTATGAAAAAAAACTCGTGGGATTAACGTAACGACACAGTTGACAACCATAAAGGAGAAAAGTGTCCCACACCCGTTTAGATCCGTTGAACATAAACCGTCTGTCGTAGAAATATAAACTGGATTTCCCTATCTTTTGATCTTCTTATTTGCCAGCTCTTCTTACAAGCGAAACGTTTTTCACACTCGATTTTACAATGAAATTTTTACCACTGCACCTTATATGCTGCAGAACAAACCCGTGAACGGGAAAAATCTAGAATTCGCGTTTTTTTTTTTTTTTTTGTTAATTTGGAATACGGAATTAAATGAAAACGAAGGGAAATACGTATGGAAAGCTTTAAACCCGTTCGACTGGGCCAGCCGAATTCTACCTCATTGGTCGATGTTCAACGCGTGACTCACGCGTCACTCTATCATTGGCTGGACATTTGAAATTAGAATTTCTCGCTGTGTGAATGGCTGGTGCGTCACATGCGCAATTTAGTTTTTTTAACGTCATTTTAAAATGGCGACAGCTACGGTGTTCGATCGAGTGATCTTCATGGACGTAGTAACGGTTACGTAACTCACGGAAGTCTTATTATAAAAGATTACGTATATAGTAACGTTTATCAAAATGTTGCGTGCGAGCACGGATGAGTATGTGCCAATATTGAATATTTTATGCCACCAGTTACAGAAAAAATTTTCTCTTTAATCCCTGAGCAATTTACACTCCCTCAAATCTCGTTGACAGTGATGCTGATTTTAATGCCTCTGATGAAGGTAAATTTGTTTATATCGAATTACACTCAATCAAAACTAAACAGTAATAAAGCAGTCAATAATAATAAATGAAAATTTATTTAAAAAATAATAAACATTATTATTTATTTTCAGACAATGTGGTTGAATTTCCTGCATTACTGCAACAACAATGGAAAGAATCAAATAGTGAACATATGAATATATTAAATGTAAGTGTGGGACTCGCTACGTATCTGTTTACTTAAATCATAACATAAGTTCCTAACAATACGATTTTGTCGGATAACTGTCAACTTTCACACCTGGGAGCTGATCATTGGTGAGTTCTCAGCAGCAAAAGTGACGCTTTGTCATAACCTTCCGACCTATTGTCATAAATTCATCAGTTGAAGATAACAAGGAACTGAAAAATTGAGGCAGTCGTCGTCCGTTCTTCTAGTAGTACTATCATCGCGAAAATTCTCCAAAAATTAACTTTGTCAGTGCCCATCAGGATATCACGTACTCATCTTGGATATTGCAGAACATTGTGCCATAAAGACAACTTCTTGGATAAGCTTTCTCGACGATAAAAAAAAGAGACGATCACTACTTTAACGACATCCAATTCAACCATTGTGGACATCCTCTACTCCATCTATTTATCAACTCGCGAACCACTGTGAACTCTCACTTTTGAGAACCGCGGAATGCTAATTTAAACCCATCTATTATACTCACTATCGACAAACTGTATGTCATGTAATGCCTATCGTTTCCGATTAAACGTTTGTTACGTTTAATCTAGTCTGTGCGTGAGTCACTTCAGGTGCGCTGTCTCTCACTCCATCCAGCCCTATTGACCCCACACAAGACAACTCGCGTGACCTATCGACCTGACAGAGGTTATGTTGGGTCAGGTGTTTACCACGTGTTGGACCAGGTGTTTACCACATGTGAACACCTAACGACCGGGGTTCGATCTGGAACCCATTAAGTGACATTTTACGTGTGAGTGCGACATTCGTTGTTGTTGTCTTTTTGCTCGGGTCAGCCAGATGAGTAGGACGTGTCCGGTGCTCTATCCGACCGATATAACCGTTTCTTTGCTACATACAAATACTACGTTCTAAAGTGCATTCTCCCTTGAAAACGCAACAGCAGCAAAGAACCCAACAGTGGCGACGAGGATAAAGGATTAAAAATACGGCGATGGACCCGGAATCAGTGAAATCACTCGTAAAATCATTACTCGCAGAGCAACAGGAGGCCGCACGACGCCGAGAGGAGGCTTTATACGAACTTATCAAAGACATTCGTTTGTCTACACACACGCCTTCCTCATCACCTTCATCGTCAACGTCTTCCTCAGGAACACTCCCTCAGTTACCGGAATTCCAACCTGATGAAGAAGACGGCTCAAAATTCGACGAGTGGGTAAGTCGCTTTGAGTTTGCTTTGGACTGCGCGGCACCCAAGATGGCCGACCAAGAGAAAGTCAAGTTCCTTATGACTAAACTTTCTGCGCCCGCCTTCAGCGAGTACAATAAGTACTGTATGCCGAAGAGTATTACGGACTTCGACTACGAGGAAACCACTTCGCGACTTCGCCAACTTTTTAGCAAGAAACGTTCGATCTTCGCGGACCGCTATGACTGTCTGCGCATTGCAATTGACGATGGTGAAGACTTCCGCCATTTCACGAACCGAGTGAGAGCGGCTCGACGACGATATAACTTTCGTGCTCAGACAGAAGAACAGTTCTTTTGTCTCGTCGTTCTCACTGGACTTAAGTCGAAAGCCCATGAGTCATTACGCGCCCGAATTCTCCAGAAGCTTAACTCGGATGGAGAAAACGTTACATTCGACGACGTGATGAACGACTGCGAAGAGTTCATAGCGATGCGTTCCGAAAATAAGTTATACGAAGAAACAGAACGTCTGGTTAATAACGTCCGCGCCAAGACCCCGCCTAAAGAAGAAAAGACCAAGAAGGCAAATCGTCCACCGAGTACGTGCAAGCGATGTGGTGAGTGGCATTGGTACAAAGACTGTCCATACGTAAGACACAAATGCCAAAAGTGCAATCGCGTAGGACATTTAGAGAAATTATGTCGACGACCACAGAAGAAAAAGCAAGTGTGCTCCGCCAGGGTAGGAATTATCCAAAATTTTGTAAACGCCTGCCGACTGCTAAAAACAAAGATTGAGGTTAATGGACACCCAGTCGACTTCTATCTCGATAGTGGATCTGAAATTAACATTATCGACGAAACGACATACGATGCCATCGGACGACCCACACTCCAGCCTTGTACGGAACGAGCTAGATCTTACGACGGAAGTAAGTTACTCTCTTGCCACCATTCCTAGGGAAGGGACGCACCACCTTCTGTCACAATGACATCTGCAAAAAAGAACCGTTCTATGTAGCCAAGAAAGGAGCTCTCAACCTCCTCGGAATCGACGCTATGCACCACTTTCATTTCTTTGCTGCTAAGGTTTATGAGGTTAACACCTGTAAGAAGCCAAAGAATGACCACATCTCCGCCCAACCATTACGGGATGAAGAAACGGTCGTAGCAACCATCCAAGCCGACTTGGACCTTACAGCCTTGTCGTCTCAACTACCTGTAACTTTCGACAAACTGTGCGAGCAAACAAAAAAGGATCAACTCCTTCAAACGATCAGGCAGTACATTACTTCCAAGTGGCCGAACGTCGACAAGCTTCGGGAGTCCCCCGATTGGACTCAAATCCAACAGTTCTATCGTCGACGCGACGGACTCAGCGTCGAAAAGGGATGTCTCGTCTATAACGAACGCATCATCATCCCCACACTACTCCAACGTAGGGTACTCAAACTCCTACATCGTGGACACCCCGGTATCCGGCGTATGAAATCCCTAGCCCGCAACTACGTCTATTGGCCGAATATAGACCGCGACATCGAGNTATTTGCCAGCTCTTCTTACAAGCGAAACGTTTTTCACACTCGATTTTACAATGAAATTTTTACCACTGCACCTTATATGCTGCAGAACAAACCCGTGAACGGGAAAAATCTAGAATTCGCGTTTTTTTTTTTTTTTTTTTGTTAATTTGGAATACGGAATTAAATGAAAACGAAGGGAAATACGTATGGAAAGCTTTAAACCCGTTCGACTGGGCCAGCCGAATTCTACCTCATTGGTCGATGTTCAACGCGTGACTCACGCGTCACTCTATCATTGGCTGGACATTTGAAATTAGAATTTCTCGCTGTGTGAATGGCTGGTGCGTCACATGCGCAATTTAGTTTTTTTAACGTCATTTTAAAATGGCGACAGCTACGGTGTTCGATCGAGTGATCTTCATGGACGTAGTAACGGTTACGTAACTCACGGAAGTCTTATTATAAAAGATTACGTATATAGTAACGTTTATCAAAATGTTGCGTGCGAGCACGGATGAGTATGTGCCAATATTGAATATTTTATGCCACCAGTTACAGAAAAAATTTTCTCTTTAATCCCTGAGCAATTTACACTCCCTCAAATCTCGTTGACAGTGATGCTGATTTTAATGCCTCTGATGAAGGTAAATTTGTTTATATCGAATTACACTCAATCAAAACTAAACAGTAATAAAGCAGTCAATAATAATAAATGAAAATTTATTTAAAAAATAATAAACATTATTATTTATTTTCAGACAATGTGGTTGAATTTCCTGCATTACTGCAACAACAATGGAAAGAATCAAATAGTGAACATATGAATATATTAAATGTAAGTGTGGGACTCGCTACGTATCTGTTTACTTAAATCATAACATAAGTTCCTAACAATACGATTTTGTCGGATAACTGTCAACTTTCACACCTGGGAGCTGATCATTGGTGAGTTCTCAGCAGCAAAAGTGACGCTTTGTCATAACCTTCCGACCTATTGTCATAAATTCATCAGTTGAAGATAACAAGGAACTGAAAAATTGAGGCAGTCGTCGTCCGTTCTTCTAGTAGTACTATCATCGCGAAAATTCTCCAAAAATTAACTTTGTCAGTGCCCATCAGGATATCACGTACTCATCTTGGATATTGCAGAACATTGTGCCATAAAGACAACTTCTTGGATAAGCTTTCTCGACGATAAAAAAAAGAGACGATCACTACTTTAACGACATCCAATTCAACCATTGTGGACATCCTCTACTCCATCTATTTATCAACTCGCGAACCACTGTGAACTCTCACTTTTGAGAACCGCGGAATGCTAATTTAAACCCATCTATTATACTCACTATCGACAAACTGTATGTCATGTAATGCCTATCGTTTCCGATTAAACGTTTGTTACGTTTAATCTAGTCTGTGCGTGAGTCACTTCAGGTGCGCTGTCTCTCACTCCATCCAGCCCTATTGACCCCACACAAGACAACTCGCGTGACCTATCGACCTGACAGAGGTTATGTTGGGTCAGGTGTTTACCACGTGTTGGACCAGGTGTTTACCACATGTGAACACCTAACGACAGGGGTTCGATCTGGAACCCATTAAGTGACATTTTACGTGTGAGTGCGACATTCGTTGTTGTTGTCTTTTTGCTCGGGTCAGCCAGATGAGTAGGACGTGTCCGGTGCTCTATCCGACCGATATAACCGTTTCTTTGCTACATACAAATACTACGTTCTAAAGTGCATTCTCCCTTGAGAACGTAACAGCAGCAAAGAACCCAACAGGTTACATAAGTGTTAAACAGTTAACAAAGCTCGAACGCATTTTTTCAAAGAAGAGCATAGAGTTAAAATGAATTTTATGAAGGAAGAATTGAACTCCTGCAAGAAGAAAAAACTCTACAAATAAGAGAATAACAATTAAAAATAGAATTACTGCAAGAAAAATAAAAAAAAAAAACATTTAAAAAACGTTATATTATGAATTGTACTGTTTGTTATTTGTATTCTAAAGTAAAAGAATGTCTAGAACATCTTATTAATAAATTTAATTTTTAGAGTTATTTTGTTGAAAATTATTTATAATTTTTATTGAATAATTTATTCAAATTACGCATTCAAATTTAATGAAAGTAATTCAGAATTCTTTCAGAAATTTAAACTGAGCATTGTATGGAATTTTTTGATTTAGCATGATAACATATTAATTAATAAGTTAATTTAATGAATAAAAATAACATTTCAAAGGAAAAGAAACAAAAAAAAAATAGTTATACAGTACATACATATATAACAATTTTTATTCATTTTTGCTTTAAAGCTCTGTACATTTAAATCTAGAAATACAGGTATACCTCGCCTTACGTCGGTAATTGGTACCAGGAGAAGCGACGTAAGTCGAATTTACTTGTTTCGGAATCTACTTGTCACTAGGCTAAACCGTAAATTACCATTCCCGGTTCCGTATTTTATTTATTAATGCATTTTTAATAATATATGGTTAGTAAGGATCTATTTTAAGCTTACAAACAAATAAATTTTAGTTTTTAATATAGTACAGAAAAAAAATTAATCTAAATTTACGAATGCAGGTACTGTAAATACAGTACATACTTGTAAATGTATATATTTTAATATGATTTTATAGGCTTTAAACGCATTTCTAGTGATATTACGACTTCAATATCTGTGGCGGACAGACGTAAAGTCGAATAAAATGACTTAAACTTGATTTTTATTTTTCCATATACTTTTTTGACAAACGACGTATACAGTAATCGGGAACGACATAACTCGAAATGACGTAAGTCGAGGTATACCTGTATGTTTCTATCTACTGATTTACAAAAGTCTAGAAGCATAATCTGAAAAACTAACATTTTTCAAGAAACTTTTATTGTTTATTATTAAATACTATTTGCATTAAGTTTAATTAACTTATCATACACAACCCATAATTTTATGATGTTTTATTTATGAATTATTCATATCAAAGTATCAAAGTCTGTAATTACAACAAATTTCAATAAGAAATTAATAATTACATATTTCCCATTCATTGAAAGCTTGTATTATTGTATTCTTAACAGCTGTTCTGCCTTGAACAGTCCAATCCCGAGCATCATCTCCATTACATTCTTCAGGCTACATAACCATATCTAAAACAAGTGAATCATCCCTCCATAGTACAGCTATATTGTGGAGAACACCAATACCAACAATAATAATAAGTGATGTTTCTAGTTTAGTTCGAAGACCAAACCTTAGAAAAGGAAATGTACTCTTCCATATTCCAAATAGTCTTTTACTGTGTTTCGAGTTTTAATATGAGTAGCATTATATTTTGCATTTGTTGTTGTGTTTAAAAGTGGTGTCATCAAATATGGTTTGCAGGGATAGCTACCATCTCTTGATATAGGTCTTGAATTCTACCAAATCCAAAAAAGTACAAAGAACTGAAAGTAAATTCCATAAAATTATAAGTGTATATGCTTGTGTATATTATGCGTATACTTTATTTGATATTTGAAGATGGGGTAAAGGTTAAAAAACAAAAATTGTCTTGGTAACTTGTATGTAAAGGGCGTTGATGCTATTTTAATTGTTATTGATAATTACAATATTTTTTAAAAAATATACTCTATCTTCAGTTTAACTCTTTTGGTTTTTTTTATTATAATTAATAGTACAAAATGTGAATGTTAAATGAAGTATCAAAACAGATGGGGCCAAATAAGATTTTAATTCATCGAGTTCTGTTGTCACTTCTTAATTTAAATTGCATTGAATCTTTGTACAACAAATGAGATTGTCTTAACCACGAGATAGAGCAAACGTGTGCACATGATGTGAATATTGAACTTATCAAAAAGTGAATGAATCTGGAAAATATATATACAAATACGTGAGCCACGTGAGCCGTTCACAGCCGGCACACGTATTTGTAAAATCTAAGTGACTCGTACAACATGGAATTCATATAAAACGGAATTATCAAAAGTGTTATAGAGGGGTCGACTGTATTCCAGTATAAGAGTATACAGAAGTTTAAGTGCTTATCTATGGAAGTCGGACACGGGTATGACACAATGTCATACACTACAGTATCAGTAAAAATGAAATACAGTATTTCATAAATGAGCGTACACTGACAAGGAAGACGAATAAAAATGTTCTGATATAACGTCACGTGTAAGAAAATGTTATACAGAAGGTAAACACATGTGTTTTATTCCGATTTGGCCATATGAAAAGAATAAATAAGGAGGAAGCACAAAGTGTACGTGGAAAAACGGCAGTGCATGGAAAGAAACGCTTACAGATAAAAAGAGTGATGCATATGGAAAACAGTTACTACAAACACGAATGAATGCAAGGTATTAAAGAATGAATTTATGTCAGCCGTCTTTATTGCAGCTTTTCTTTCTAGGAATTGCGTCTAAAAACAACTAAGTACGGGTATATAAAACGTTTAATGTCATTTTTCACATAGTCAATAACGACTTTGCCAAAGATCCGGATCTTTTCGATTCTTCACATACGCACAAGTATATTTTCGTGAATGATTGATCATATTCTTGCACTCCGTTTCCAGTACTGTGTACAATTGTAGACCATGTAGGCTCATTTAAACAAATATCGTGTGACATGGGTTTCAAATTTTATGAACTTATTGCAGGTGTAGCGAGTCTAGTGTTGTCGAGAACACTTTCGAAACAACCTACAATATCAATTCATAACTTTATAGCGATTGTATAAAATTATCACTGATATTTCATAAACAAAATTAAAATAACTTTTACGACAAAATTAATTTGTTGTATTTTTTATTGAAAATTATATTTTCATTTTCGAAATTGCTTTTCTAATTTTTTGCTGTTTAGAAGTTGCAATGTTGTAGTAATTGAAGACAACATTTTAATTAACACGTATATTTATAAGAGGGCATAATTCTAATATATAACATTAGAATGAGCTTTAGTTTATGTTTATAATGTGAAAGAAATTTGAAAACATTAATTAAATTTTGTAAATTTACTATTTACTAGATGACGGTTTAACTTACCAGAAGAATATGGCAAGAATGTTCATATTAGATCGATATCGTCATAATCGTGTTATCGGATCCGATTAATTGCAGTTCTATATATATATAAATAGTTGTTTTCCATGTAATATTTTTAAATATAAAAAGAAAACATCACAAATCTATCAGATAATAAATAAATAACATAATTATGAAATTCAAGCACTACAGCAAATAGACTTTTCTGTTATTATTGAGTCTGGTTTCAATATTTGCTTAAATAGAAAAAAGAAATGCCAGTTTCTGTATACTAACTGTAAGCAATCAAAATCTGAAAAATAATGAGAGTTACAATAATTTACAATGTAAAAATATTTGGCTGTTTCAACTTCCAAATTAGTTAGATAATTTAGGTTTTTAGAATTTCTGTGATCCGTTGCCACTATGGCGATAATGTGAAAAATTTGTTAATGCTTCAACCATGAACTTAAGAATAGGAATAAACCTCGATATTAGAAGACACTGATTGGTTTACTAAGCAATTCATAACGTTGTAATTATTGGATTAAAATATTTCTAGTATTTAATAAACAAAATTCAAGTAACTTTCATTAACCTAATTAGACAAAATATGAATAATAAAAATCATTAAAAGTATGTTTTGTATCTATACTTGTACTAATGTAATGACTTTTAGGTTTCATCCATAATATCTTTGTAACTTTAGAAGATGCAATGTTACACTGATTATACACAACCTTTCATCCCAGACAGTATATTTATTAAACACTTTTATATAGCAATTTTCCT